GGTGGGACTAGACTAGACTAATACAAATAGTTGAGTTTGCCAGGTGCATACAACATTTATGACAGGTTTTCATGAAAGTGTTGGTCAGTTTGTCTGCTTGACAATCCCATTTTGCACTGCAACAATAAAATTGAAGTGAGATAAACAAACTGAGAAATGTTTCTTTTTAGTTAAAACAGATGTTGCCAAAGTTTTCGTTAGGGGACAGAATTTGAAGTTGGAAAAAGATAATAAATTGCAATATATTGCAGAATATCGCAATATATTTAAAATCGCAATAATATTGTATCGTGACACAAGTATCGTGATAATATCATATCGTGGGTCCTCTGGTGATTCCCACCCCTACTAGCAATGTTAGTTTGGTTGAGAGTGAAAGCTGTGCTCCTCTCTCACCATTGGTAGGCGAACTCGTGGACTCGAAAGTGATATCAACAAGTTTTTTTTAAATGTAGGATCATTTTTTTCCACAGCCAAACGCTGCATGCCGGAGAACTTTAAGCCCTGAACATTGTAACATTTTAAGTCCTTGTTTCAGAACAAATCGAATAATCTACAGTTCTGTAAATGTGTCTGTTTCTCTCTCACAATCTTTGTTTTGATCTTTGCAGATGGTGATAGATGCAGACCTGCTCCCCCCGTTGATAAATATTCTGCAAGTAGCCGAGTTCCGTACAAGAAAGGAGGCAGCGTGGGCCATCACAAACGCCACATCAGGCGGTTCTGCTGAGCAGATCAGGTAAGACAGATCACTGCTTTAGCCTGCTATTAACATGTGTCTTTTGTGACAGTTTGTGATGAGATCAATTCCTGCATCAGCAACCAAGACGGCTTCATATTTTAATGCTTTAATCTTCTCCTCAGGCATCTTGTTGAGCTTGGTTGCATCAAGCCCTTATGTGACCTCCTGACTCTGATGGATTCGAAGATCGTACAGGTGGCACTGAATGGCTTGGAGAACATCCTAAGACTGGGTGAGCTGGAAGCTAAACGAGGAGGAGGAATCAACCCCTACTGCGCCCTCATTGAAGAAGCATATGGTATGTTAGTCATCACACTTGCTTGTGATTTTCCCATATTTATAAGGATTTCCATATTTTTTGACCTGAGAAGTATGACCCCCCCCCACCCCCACATAACCACATATAGTAAGTTTTTTTTCTTCTTTATTCGTCCTTAGCTGATCATATGCCTGTAATTGTTTCTCTGGGGTCTTCAGACCCTTCATTACATCCCAACCTTTCTACAATAAATCTTTGTTAATATTAAGCAGTGTTAATCCTGCCAACGTCTTTTATTCCGGAGATCAGATTTTCACATTTGTTTTAAATGTTCATGTTCATATTAATATATAAAATAGTTTATTTACATTTTAAGATTGAACTAAAATGTTACTCTCAACAACTAAAATCAATTAAAACAGACAAACAAATTAATGAATTGGCACAAAATATAGACAAAAAAAAGATATTATTCTATAAAATGTGTAATATTATATATGGGTCTAGAGAAAAAAAAAGACAAACCTTTTCCTATTCCTTTCCATCAGGGTTGGACAAGCTGGAGTTTCTACAGGGTCATGAGAACCAGGAGATCTACCAGAAGGCTTTTGACCTGATCGAGCGCTACTTCAACACAGAAGATGAAGATCCGGCCCTGGCCCCTGCTGTTGATCTCCAGCAGCAGCAGTTCCTTTTCCAGCAGTGTGAGGCTCCCATGGAGGGTTTCCAACTTTAACCCTTCCCTTCACCCCCATCTTCTCCAAGCAATCCACCCTGGAGGGTGAGCGACACCCCCACTGACCGAACAGAGCGAAGGATTTAACAAATGAACATTTCAATTAAGGTGTGATATACAAGAGCGTGTGTTGCCGGTCAACCCATTTCCCCCCTCTTGTCCTACTTCCCTGGCCCGGTCCAGAACGATGGCTCCAGAACGATAGCGACTTCCTGTTTTGATGTGGCAAATGTGACCAGTAGATCTTTCATATGACTTAAATATCTCACTTCCTTCATTGAACTGTCATTCAGCCCTACAAAGCACACATATCCCATCAGTCCCTCAGCCCAATTCAGGAAAACTGCATCCAGCGATGACTTAACAGAAGCTGGGAAAGCACAGCTCGTGTGATGTGACTGCAGTGTTGACTCTGACAAGGCATCTGCTTTCCATCTGTTGTAAAACACTGGACTGACCGTGTGACTGTGTTTGCATGTCTAAAATCCCCCCACCCAAAATAAGTCGCAGCCAACATGCGCCGAAAAACTCAAAAGGACGTCTGATAAATGCAAGGCACTTGTACCTTCTCAATTGACCCAGACAACTCAAAAAACGGACTGAGGGGTCCGGGCTTTCCGACTGACAACGCCAGTCAGACGGTTTCTTACTTCGACTTGCATCAAACATGCATTCCGACAATGACTGAACTGTACAGGTTCCGTCTCTCCTTTTAGGGTTACACATTTGCACCTTTGGAATTCTGGGAGTTGGAGTCTTCCCGCTCACTGAGACTGCTGGACAGACAAAAAGACAGATCCTGTATCCTGTGCATTAGACCATTTGATACTTCAAGAGGACATTTTCCCATGAGCGTCATCTTTATCGGCACTTTATGTTCAGAACAGACACCCTTTGTTTAGATTCGAACCTCTGTAGTCCGTTTTAGGCCCCCAAAGCACTTCTCAGGATATTGAGGTGAAGAGGAATGGCACGTACCTGCATTACGGGATGTGCTTACAGAAAACACTAAGTATTTGAGCGCTGCCTCATTCTGGCTGAGAAAACGCCAACCCTTTCAAAGCTTCCAACATATTTTAACAAGCTGTTGAAAATTGAGCTGAAAAGGCTTTAGCTTCCCGACATGTGTGTAAAACGAACTTAAATATTAATGTCTAATCATGCTGAATGCGCACTCACGTTCAGACACACCATATTTTCTGAGTGACTAGAACTGTATATGGAAAAATACAGAGCAGAAAACTGTTCAGTTCTGTTTTGTTGTTCGGTTTTATTTTATTGTATTTTTGCGAGGGTTAGAATCTCTTAATACCGAAGGTGCCATAATCCTAATTTTAAAAAATGGAGGTGGAAAATGACAAACAAATGAACTTTAAAAGAATTTATCAACAAATTTGAACTTAAGATTTACTGGGTATTGGCTCAAGATATGATTGTTTACTTAGGTTTTCTTATGTTAATGTCAGATTCTTCCCAAGAGATGACCAGCTCTTTGTGTTCAATACTGCTGTCGTATTGAGATTGTGTAACTGTTCTCTGTTACTCCATTTGCATAAATGCCGTTTCAAGAAGCTCGGTGGTCAAGTGATTTAATTTGAGATTTGTATAAGACTCTTATTCATCATTGCTTCATTCACAGAAGGGCCAGTCATTATGCTTTCATTCTTCACGTACGCTTAACCTTTTTGACTATGCTCTAATTTTTTCCTATGCAATTTAGTGCTAATAGCTATGCTATTTTACTTGTGGTTGGTCATTTTAATCAAGCACAGACGATAAACATCAGCTTTAGGACAACCTTAAAGGAATACTGCACCCAAACATTTAAATTAGCTGAAAATGTACTCATCCTCTGGTCCTCCCAAGATGTAGAGGAGTTTGTTCATCTGAACAGATTTGGAGAAATTCAGCATTACCTCATTTGCTCAAGAATGGATCCTCTGCAGTGAATGGGTGCCATCAGAAAGAGTCCAAACAGCTGATAAAAACATCACAATAATCCACATGACTCCAGTCCATCAATTAACATCTTGTGAATTGAAAAGCTGCGTGTTTGTAAGAAACCAATCCATTATTATCCATAACTTCCTCCAGTGAAAAGGTCCATCACTGTTATCCTCTCACATCAGAATCCACTGAACTGTTATGGACAGTTTTTGCTTACACAGTGTGTGCATATTTCTCTTCTGATTCAGACAAGATGACTTTTTCAGCAGAAAAAGAAAAATTATGAATAGAGGACTTGTATGAATTGGATTTGTTTCTTACAAACACAGCTTTTTGCTTCTTAATATGTCAGTTGATGGATTGGAGTGATGGCTGATAAAATTCTATACTATTTATATTACTTTTAAAAATCAGCTATAAAAACAAAAGTAGTTCCTGTATATGCCTTTATCAGGCATTACAGGCATGATGAAATGAAAATGAGACCAATCAGACCAATCACTGCAGATTAGCGTCACGCAAAGGATGGTTTGGCAAAATGAATCGTTGAGCGAATCATTTGGGAGTCATTGTATGGTAAAATAAATGCATATTATAAGACAATGAAGGTGTTTTTTGACCTTGCATGCATGTCAACCTGTTGTTGGGGACTCCCAAAACCAAAATATGAACCTTTCAAATTATGAATAGAGGACTTGTATGAATTGGATTTGTTTCTTACAAACACAGCTTTTTGCTTCTTAATATGTCAGTTGACGGATTGGAGTGATGGCTGATAAAATTCTATACTATTTATATTACTTTTAAAAATCAGCTATAAAAACAAAAGTAGTTCCTGTATATGCCTTTATCAGGCATTACAGGCATGATGAAATGAAAATGAGACCAATCAGACCAATCACTGCAGATTAGCGTCACGCAAAGGATGGTTTGGCAAAATGAATCGTTGAGCGAATCATTTGGGAGTCATTGTATGGTAAAATAAATGCATATTATAAGACAATGAAGGTGTTTTTTGACCTTGCATGCATGTCAACCTGTTGTTGGGGACTCCCAAAACCAAAATATGAACCTTTCAAATTATGAATAGAGGACTTGTATGAATTGGATTTGTTTCTTACAAACACAGCTTTTTGCTTCTTAATATGTCAGTTGACGGATTGGAGTGATGGCTGATAAAATTCTATACTATTTATATTACTTTTAAAAATCAGCTATAAAAACAAAGTAGTTCATAAGACCTTAAAGATAACAATAAAGACATAACAGTGGAACACAACTTTATTTTTTCTTAATATATATATGTATGTATTTATATATATATATAAAAAAAATCACACAGGGAAAATCTCATCTTTATTTTATACTCTACTCTAAAAATCTGTTTACTATGTGAAGGAAAATCTGTACCACCTCCACCAGAGTTCCCATGGTGTGTGGCGTTTGACATTAAATAACTGGCTGTTGTATGATGCAAGCTGACACTGAGACATGGGCCTTGATGGAGCGCAGATGGATGCATCTCACTGGGCTTTCTCTCCAAGTGCATCGGCAGCCTCCTTTTCTCTCTGTGCTTCCTCTCTCCATTGAGCCTTTTTCTCCATGTTACGAGAGGTCAGATTTTCATGCCGACCTGCCGCCTGCCATTGAAAGCATTGGTTAAAAGATATGAGAGCCATATATTACCCAAGCTTATCATTTATACAGCAGCACACTTTTTATTACCCGCTTCCCAGAGACAGCCGTAGCAACGCACGCTATGATGGTCAGTGCCATCATCACATAGCAGGCCTTCACACGCACTCTGTTCCTGGCAGCATCAATCATCTCAAATCTGAAAACAGTGCAGTATTTTCATAAGTAAAGAAAATACTATAAAATAGTACATGAAGATGTGCTTAAACAAGCCAAGTCTAATTGTACAAAGAAAGCATTTCAAAGAGCAGGGCAGGGTATCGTCACAGATTTCCTAATTCATTTATTAACGTAGTAGAATGAACTACGTTAAGAAGGTCATCACCGGTCTATTAAAACGCACAACATATTAAAGCGTCTTTGGTGTTTCCATGTTTTTCTACAAAACAAAACCGGAAATCGAGGGGTTATGACGTCATTGGCAGGCGACACAATGACACTATGGACACGGTCCGTGTCACTAGTTAAAATAGCTTATTTCTCTGGATTTAAACATTCTTCGAAACATTTGGGATAATGTAAGTACACAAGTCAGCAAAATATATAACACTGTTCTAGTGGTTTCTGGATATTTTAATAAAAAAATCTTTCATATTGTGCCTTTAAGGGCTAACAACCTCTTTATGAATGAATCGTTAAAGTGCCCCTATTATGGATTTTTGAAAATTACCTTTCATGCAGTGTGTAACACAGCTCTAAGTGAATGAAAACATCCTGCAAAGTTTTAAATCTGAAAGTGCACCGTGTACAAAGTTGTTGTCTCTCAAAAGAAAGAGTTGACTTTGAATCATTGAAACGAGTCGTTTCATGTTGACGTCAACATGAAACATTAGCATATTGCCCGCCCACTTGTTGGTCTTTTCCCGTTGGTCTGAATGAAAATGCAAATTCATTCTTTGCCACTAGGTGCCGCTTTTGGAGCGGTAAATTAGCGGCCTCCCCGGTAAGGGATGCACACAAAGCAGCACTGTGCTCACAAACGCTGCTTTATCAGGCATTACAGGCATGGTGAAATGAAAATGAGACCAATCAGACCAATCACTGCAGATTAGCGTCACGCAAAGGAGGGGTTTGGCAAAATGAATCGTTGAGCGAATCATTTGGGAGTTGTTGTATAGAGAGGAAACACAAGGTAAAGAAAAGTTAGTCCACTGGAAAACGATGAAATTCCCTTTAGTATAATCTGATCCTTGTAGAACAGCCAAAACCGGAACCCATCTTGATCTACATCATAATTACGCTGTTGCACGTTATGTGCATGTTTTTTTATTCCTTTGAATTGTAAGTGCCAACCTGTTGTTGGGGACTCCCAAAACCAAAATATGAACCTTTCATTACCCATAATTGGGGCACTTTAAAAGAACTAGCTCATTGGAGTAATTTCTTCTTGAATCGGACTTCACTGGTAGCGCTGTGTGCTTTTGATCCACTAAAAAGAACCAGTTCATAAGAGTCGTTTGTTTTCTAATCGAGCTTCACGGTCACGTGCAGTTGTGCGCGTTTGTTTTCGCATGTAGGACAACTCGATAGAAAGACGGTTCTTGTCGTTATTTAGAGGTACACCTTTTTTTTTCAACATATCCAGTGTACAGACTGAGAACCCACAAAACAATTCATCTAATACAATTTCCTTTGCTGTGGCGCTAAAGATTCAACAATAGAGGAGATACGCTGCTCCAAAGCAACGCAAGAAACACAAGGAACTTTCGTTCTTGTTACATTACGAAAATATTAGTTTTACATATTAAACGCAGAGAGAAAGAGTTTAAACGCTCGTTCACACCAAGAACGATTAACTATATTATACTATTATAGACTATAACGATAAAGCTTTAAAAATCAATCTAATTTAATGACAATAGGCAAGTCCACACAAAAGCTATAACGTTAATGATATGGATTAAAGACATTAAAATCACTTTCAGAACTAATTTTCCAGCTTATGAACGATAAAAACACTGACAGCCAATTAGAATTAACCTAGAATTATCCAGGCTTGAGCACTTAAAGACAGCCTGCAGCACCTTTATACTAAACAATTATGCTAAGATAGTTATTGTTCTTAATGTGAACAGGCTTTAACCATATGTTTACACACAGCTACTGAAATGTAATCGTCCAGTAAAATACGATTGATCTTTGGGGTTTTAAGGATTGACACTTTGATTATACAAATGAATATCGCAATCAATCATTAAATCAGTATTTTTACTCATCCCTAGTAAAAAAAAGCAACAGTATGATGGGTCACAGAGGACATGCCTGCCATGTTTTGCATCTAACATCACAAACAGAGCCCACTCTGATCTCCCTCCAGATACCATGAATTACACTAATTACCTGTCAGTACACTGCGAGTAATCAATCTCGTTTGAACCTCACAGCGGACGTCTCTTGTGTTCCACCAATACTCTGATAGAACTTTAGCCACATGACCTCATACACCAACTATATGCTCAGTAGTATGCCTGGAGCTGGGGGTTTATCTCAATGTAAACAGGAATGGCCCACTTACGACACAAACTCTGGAATCTGTTCTGCGGTTTTGAATCGCCCGGACCACACCAGCATCTTTTTATCCCATTCTGATGGGCGGTAACCTGGTACTTTAAACCCAAGCCGTTGTGCTAGAGAAAAAAAGGAGAGAGGAAACACAAGGTAAAGAAAAGTTAGTCCACTGGAAAACGATGAAATTCCCTTTAGTATAATCGGATCCTTGTAGAACAGCCAAAACCGGAACCCATCTTGATCTACATCATAATTACGCTGTTGCACGTTATGTGCATGTTTTTTTATTCCTTTGAATTGTAAACATTCTAGGGAACAAAACGTGCTGGAATGATATGCAGTGTCACGTCAAGTGCTGAATCATGTCATATGCCCCACCTCTTAATGCAGGTAGGTAGAAGTGAATGGATATTTGAGTACTGACCCTGGGGTGCGGATGCCCCCTCTTGAGGCTTGCTGCACAGTCTTCTGCTCCCTGTGGTCATCACACCTCTCCTCACCTGCCCTATAGGAGGAAAGGGACCATAAAGTGAGAATTCAGTCATTTACTCGCCCTCATGTTTGAAGTGGTTTGACTTTCATTCCTTAGAGGAACATTTTTAGCTGAAATGTCCCTTTAAGTCTGTCATGGTGATAAATTATGGCTGCATGATGATGTTTATACAACACAAATGTGTTGGTTCCTGTTATATTTGCACTGATATAAGTTTAAAACATTGTTTGTTTGTTTGCTTGCTTTTGCCAGATGTTAGAAGATAAATGTTTGATTTAGCATTTTAGCAGCCGTTTAAGAATGATCTTTTATTCAATCATTTGAACATCTGATTTTTGCTAGGCAAAAAAAGCTATGTACAAGCTATACTCAAATGACGGTTTCCGCCAAAATAAAAATACAGTACAAATGTTTTTGATGACATACAGAGCAATACCACAGCTTTTAGTAATAATTATTTTTTATAATATTCATAACACACACACACTCACAACTGAATTATTTTTCCGTACAATTTTATATACATCTATACGCACACTACCAGTCAAAAGTTTCTGAACACTAGGATTTTTAATGTTTTTAAAGAAGTCTCCTCTGCTCACCAAGCCTGCATTTATTTGATCCAAAGTACAGCAAAAACAGTAACATTTTGAAAACAATTTTTACCATTTAAAATGACTGTTTTCTATTTTAATATATTTTAAAATGTAATTTATTCCTGTGATTTCAAAGCTGAATTTTTTGCATCATTACGCCAGTCATAGTGTCACATGATCCTTCAGAAATCATTCTAATGTTCTGATTTGCTGCTCAAAACATTTATTATTATCATTATTATGTTGAAAACAGCTGAGTCGAATTTTTTTTCAGGTTTCTTTTATGAATAGAAAGTTCAGAAGAACAATATTTATCTGAAATAGAAACCTTTTGTAACAATATAAATGTCTTTATCATCACTAGTTTTGATCAATTTAAAGCATCCTTGATAATTCAGTTGTTAATGTGTGAGTGTTGTGTTTTTCCATGAATATATATATATAGTAACAATTTTATAATATTTATAATTTATATATATATATGTATATATATATATATTGTGATGCATCATTTTTGTAAGAGAGAGTTGTAAAATCATTATAACAAGAGGTGTGGCTCAGTTCACGAATTAGATAAAACATAAATTAAAAGTAATAAAATCCATGCAGCAACCTTATGAATCCAATCATGCCAGTCTCGAAAATGTATGCTGCGTCGCAATGTATTTATAATCATGTTTTCGCTGCTAGTTTGATGCCGACAAGTGTCTGAAGAACTGTGCCCAGTGCCAAAGCTTATCATGTGCTGCCTGGCTGCGTCTAAAACAAATATCACACGGAAAATACTGACCTATTAAAGTGCCAAAAGCGGCGCGAGGCCCTCTGATCATGTTGAAGATCATGACTTCTGAAGAAAATATGATGAAAGAAAAAGACGATTTTTAAGCCATGAAATCGTGCCCAAATTACAATGCTAGGTTTACTTCCTCTAACCTTAAAGTCAGTTCGAGTTCATATGCGAGCGCAGAGCTGGTGTAACCCTGAAGGACCCTGAGCAGCCAAAACAGCTCAGCTCACGAGCGCCTGTTAAGGACATAAGCTACGTATGTAAAGAGAGCGTAACACGAATGTAGTTGTAAATGGTATAACTAAAAGTAAAGTTAAATAAAATATATCATACAAAAACATTTGCATTTCTGCAAAACATTTCGCATAAATCACCTGTGGATTTTACTTGCTCACGTTTAATCTTATTTTTATCGTGAGAAATAATTCTGTCACACTATCTCTGTTAAGTTGGCTCACTATAGTAAAAACTTGCGGGAACACTCAATAATGACCTGTAACGTTGATTAGTAAGTGTCAAAAACAACAGTTTTTATAGTAAATGTAATTCAGGCAGTATTTGGTCACCCTCAGCGCGCAGGACCTCTTCAGTCCACTATGGCGGCGCCCGGTGGAGTTCTGGACTGTGAGGACTTTTCAATGTTTCAGGTAAAACGTGCGAAGTTGTCAGCAGACAGGATAAAATTATGCAGGATGTTTAAGCGCATACTGATTTTTATAAGCACGTTGTTATGATGTTAACGGGAAGGTTGTGCGAATGACTGACCCTCGGTGGTCTGTTGCATGCAGAAGTGAGGTTCAATGAGCTGCAGAGCAAACATGAACGATTAAGCAACTGTGCTGTGTAAATATACATATATACATTAGACGAGTTTTCATTTATACACAATACAAAACACGGATTTTTTTAAAGCCATCAAGTACATAATGTATAATATGTGGGTTGTTGGACTCGTTAACTTTTTTCAGCACCAGGATTTTCAGTTAAAGTTTATTTGAGCGTATAGTGGAAGGTGTATAATGTAGGTGTTTTGACATTTTTTATTTATTTATTTTTTTTTTAAACAATTTTATGTATGGTTTTGAGCGATCTTTCAGTGTTTTTTTCCCCAATACATTGAATTGTTTCTGAGGTAGTCTAGGTGTCCCTCAGTTAATATAAACCCATAAAGCTGCATGCATATTAATTACACAATAATTAGAAAATGTAGTTTGAAATGGATAACTGCTTAATGTTGTCAGCTACCTATGTATATATAGTTATGTTGTACACTTTTTTTAACGTAACGTGTTATAGTTACCAAGGTTTTTTACTTTAAGAGAAAATTGTAGCAGTTCTATCAATAATGCCTAAATGGGGGGATGATGTTTTCTTAATATTTAAGGTAGCAAATCTCAACATCCTTGATATGTTCTGGTCATTTTCCTGAAAATTCTAGTTAATTTGATCTCATTGGACTAAGACTTACTGACTTCACTCACACAGGGTATAACTACTTCCAAAAAAATAAAGCTTGGGGGTTTTTCCCCCTCCACCTTATTACAGTAGCGATGTTCCCTGTCAAATGTGAGAAGCCTACCAAAAATTTCTCAGAAATAATTCACGCTAGTGGATATTGGATTCAATCTTTTTATGAATTTGTTTTCTTTCAGTTAGCACAGGTCTTGTATTTCTTAACAATAAGATTGAATCCAAGATTTTGTGTTAATATAACTTCTTTTTTTTTTACAGCAAATTTTCAGCACAGCAAGGGTTGAAAAGCAATTGAACAACTGTGATTGCATTACTTACAATACAAGAACAAATGGTAACTTAAAGTTGAATTTTGATTTACATTGATAGGCTGTACATCTCTGTTCTTGTCCTGTAGGAAGTATTAAAAGTGATGCGCACCATAGATGACAGAATTGTCCATGCCCTCAATACTACTGTGCCCACTGCATCCTTTTCAGGCAAAGTGGATGCCACACAGACCTGCAAAGAACTTTATGAATCTGTATGTATCACCATGCAAAATACTCTTTAATAATCTAAAATTATTATTAGAGATCCCCTAATTTTGTTCTTGATGTATTACTGATTTACTGTCATACTCTGTGGTGCAATAATTATAAGCCCTTTTTCTGTACTGCCTATGCCTTTCAGCTCATGGAAGCTCATCTTTCCAGAGATAAGGCAATAAAGTCATGTATTACAGAGACCTCTGCTGTCGTTGGGCAGTTACGTGAAGAGAGGGCAAAAGATAGCGACAACTTGTCAATAATCAAGCAACTCAGGAAAGAGCAAACTAAGGTAAGGTCTCTATTTATATGTACTTGGCCTGAAATTGGTTGAAATCTTGTTTGAATTCTCTGTCATTTCCCTACAGTTAAAACTCATGCAGTCTGAGCTAAATGTTGAAGAAGTGGTCAATGACCGGAGTATGAAGGTGAGTTATTGAGTGTCTCTCCTATTGATCCGAGTGGTTTGCATTTAGGAGTGTTTCTTAATGATCATGTTTTCCTCTAGGTTTTCAATGAAAGGTGCCGAATTCACTACACCACTCCCAAGATCAAGTGAACAATACCTCTGTTGTCAAAATAAACTACACAGTTGTTCTGAGGAAAACACCTGAGCCTGGACATTGTCACTGACCCAACAAACCCTCCATCAGTATGCTCTGTGGCTTTGTTTCTTACTGTGAAGAAACACTACTCCTGTAAACCTTTTTGTATAAATATTGTACAAAAGATTTTATAAACCATGAAATGTTTTCCAATTGCTGAAAAGTTGTCTTTTATTTGCTTTGCAATATAGTGATTAATGTTCATTTGAAGTGAAGGGGACTTAAAGATGATTGATCTGTTGTTCTCAGATGTTGATGTGGCCACCTGTGTCAAAGGTTAAAGCAGGGGTTTTCCAACCCTATCTCATGGGAAAACATAACTATTTTACGAGTTGGCGATTTCGTATGAATTGTACAATGTGAATTGTGTGAACGTATGATTTTTAGAAAAAAGTAAGTTTGAAGGCCTGTCCCTAAATATAACCAACACTGGGGCATGAGCAGATTGTACGAATGAGAAATTCATGGAAATCAGTCACTAATTAATCAAATCTTAAAATATAATAGTAGAAAAAATAGTTTTGGGTTTTCAGTCTTTTAGATGCCACAGACCCCCAAATGATGATCCTTGTGTGAGGGATTATCATAAAATGTAAAAGGCATATACAGTTTCTAATGTAAATATCCAATTTGTACTGTGAAAAAAATCTACTCGTTATAGAACTGTACTGTTAGATGTATTAGTTTTTTATCTTAATATTAAGTTATTTACTGAAATTAGTCACATTTTTATTTAATCTTTTATTTTAACATTTTTTCCCCCACTGTTCGCTAAACTTCTCCATGCACCATCTAGCATTCCATTGCCTCCCCTGGGTATCCCTGGACCGCAGTTTGAAAAACCCTGGGTTTAAGCATATCTTATGGAACCCGCCTGACATTATCATGCACTTTTATGATGACTTAAATAACAAGTGCAAAAAGTCCACTATGCCACCAAAAACAAAACTGTCCATCCATGTTCTTTATGTAAATAATGTACATTACAGCCAGTTAGGTATAAAATACCTATCAACTGCATCAGTATCACTAAGTACAAAGCCCAAAATGTGAAGACCAAACTACTGACATAGGTAACTAGATGTGAGTTAAGTGATGTTTTGAGTGTGTGGGATGAAAAAAAAAAACTGTTATTTTACAGCTATGCCAAACACATAATGGAAACATGTATTTAAAGGATTACCTAATTCACAGTTAAGTGTCATCGCAGGTAGTGATCCCACTATCGGGTAAAATGGCAACCGTGAGATTCATGAGCCTTTTAGGCAATATTTATTATGATTTTCTTAGTTTGCTTCAGAAGTACTCAATGGGATCATGATGAGCCTTGGATGTCTGTATGCTGTGCAGCTTCAGTTTTTCTCCAGCATGGGGCAGAGTTTTATAGACACGTAGATGAACGTACTCATCCCCACCTACATGCACCTGAAACAGATCATTTACAACAATGCTTTTAAACACTTTTATAGCTGTTAGGGACTATATCGGAGGCTTGCTTTTACAGACATATTTAGTACATTAACATGATACTCCTATAAGTTCATTCATAAAATCACAGGGATTTCTCGTACCTTAATGAAGTAATTTGTCCCCGCAACAACTTGTGTTTTAAAAGATTTGGCAGTGAAAATGTCAAACTTGCACTCAGCTTTATCCTCGGCATGAGACTTCATCTGTGGAAAAACGGGAGCTGTCAGACTGTGTGACGCATCTGTTCACTATTTCTATTTATCTGCAATTAAAATTTACAAACATCATCGCATATTTTCTGCACCTCTTCATTGGCATCTTTCGCCTCAGATGTTCCACCACAGCGCACATTCATTTTAAATACAAAAGGCTAACAAAAACACCCAGGAACGTCCTCACTGCTGACCGGAACAAGCGTGCCTCACAAGTACTGAAAAGTGAAACCAAACATTTCGATCGCCATCTAGTGGCTGGCTGCAGTACCGTTCATAACTCTGAACACCCAGGTGACTACTGGTGCTTCTGTCACTACTGAATCAACTGAATTAATTATGAACATATTTTAAAACATTTTTAACAGTACTTGTCATTTATTTCATACATAAATATTGCTTGTTTTTGACTTCTTTGCTTTCATGTGGTTTGGTAAAGCACAAGTTCAATCAATAAAACTTGCTGAAATTTGCATACAATTGTCACTCATGCATTTTTAAATCCTCTCCGCTACCTGCAGGAGTTATGAACTCAGCGAGATGATAATCACAAAATAAAGTGGTATGAAATGTGATTTGTAATAATAAGATGCTGCAGTTAGAGACGATTATGTATATTGACTAGTGCTGTCAAACGATTAATCGCATCCAAAATAAGTTTTTGTTTACATAATACATGCATGTGTACTGTTTATGTATATATAAATACACACACATACAATATATATATTTAAAATATTTACATGTATATACATTTATATTATATTATATATAAATATATTTAATATATAAACATAAGATCTTTTTCTTAAATATATACATGCATGTGTTTGTATTTATATATACATAATAAATATACACAGTACACACTCATATATTATGTAAACAAAAACTTTATTTTGGATGCGATGAATTGTTTGACAGCACTAATATTGACAGGACTGTTTATGGTCCAGTGTACTGCAGTCCTGCTGTGTTGCCATATGGATTCTTCATAACCTGGATTGTAAACACAAAGCTGAATATAGGCTGGCTTCTTCTGTGGGAGATAACTATTTTACGAGTTTGTGATTTTGTATGAATTCATACGTTGTGAATTTTATGAAAACGCATAATGTTTAGAAAATATTAGCATGTAGGCCAACCCATAAACATAACCATCACTATGAGCAGATCATGCAAAAACATACAAATGATAAATACTAATAAATTAACCACTAATTCATCAAAACTTAAACAGTTAAGAATTGCCATGAAATAGTTTTGGGTTTTAAGTTTTTAAATGACTCCCAAATATGATGATCCTTGTGTGAGGGGCCATCCTAAAATTTAGACCCAGACATGTATATGTATATTAAACATTTATATTATGTACATGGCAAAAATATAAATATATTATAAAATATAAATTATTTACGTATTTTACTTTTTATTTTAATAACATTTAAAAAATTTATTTACTAACATTTTATTTTTGTTATTTATTTTTACACTGATAAAACCCAGCTCATATAATCCTACACTTTTATGCTAACTTGAATAACAAGTCCAAATACGCCCCCCCCAAAAAAACACCATATAAAACAGTCCAGCCATGCACGCATTTTATGTCAATAATGTACATTATAGGCAGTTAAGTATAAAATAAGTGTTTACTGCATTAGTGTCACTAATTACAAAGCCCAAAATGTGAAGACCAAACTACTGCCATAGGTAACTAGATGCGAGTTAAGTGATGTTTTTAGTATGCGGGAGAGAAAATGAACTGTTATTTTACAGCTATGCCACACACATAATGGATGCATGTATTTATAGGATTGCTTAATTCACAGTGAGGTTCACTGGAAGTGTTAACCCATGATCCCATAAGTCAATGAATACATTTTGTAAGGTCATTGAATGTAATAAATGTTCATCTTCAGGTGTTAATGTAAACATTTACTGTGTAAAAATGGCAACATTGAGCTGCATGAATATTGTATTTATGATGATTTGCTTAGTTTGCTTCAGAAGTACTCAATGGGATCATGATGAGCCTTGGATGTCTGTATGCTGTGCAGCTTCAGTTTTTCTCCAGCATGGGGCAGAGTTTTATAGACACGTAGATGAATGTACTCATCCCCACCTACATGCACCTGAAACAGATCATTTACAACAATGCTTTTAAACACTTTTATAGCTGTTAGGGACTATATCGGAGGCTTGCTTTTACAGACATATTTAGTACATTAACATGATACTCCTATAAGTTCATTCATAAAATCACAGGGATTTCTCGTACCTTAATGAAGTAATTTGTCCCCGCAACAACTTGTGTTTTAAAAGTTTTTGCGGCGAAAACGTCAAACTTGAGACCTCCGTGAAGTTGGCCCCCCACCCAACGCAAAACGTCGGCAAAATAGTCTCAATCGTTTGTGTTCCGTTTGTGCTGTAAAAATTTTCGTTTGTGCTGCTTCGGTTTTTTAGATATTAAAAGAATATTTATAGGTCATTCTGAGGTCCCTCAGCCCCCCAACATACTCCAAATACACCCCAAATAGTCTCGTTCGTTTGTGCTTCGTTTGTGCTGGTTTGTGCAGGCAATATTTTCGTTTGTGCTGCTTCAGTTTTTAAAATATTAGACATTGAATTATAGGCGATGACGTCACTCAGCCCCCCACATGCTTCAAATTCACCCAAAACAGGCTCAATCGTTTGTGCTTCGTTTGTGCTGGTTTGTGCAGGCAATATTTTCGTTTGTGCTGCTTCAGTTTTTAAAATATTAGACATTGAATTATAGGCGATGACGTCACTCAGCCCCCCACATGCTTCAAATTCACCCAAAACAGGCTCAATCGTTTGTGCTTCGTTTGTGCTGTTTTGTGCCCTAAAAAAATTAGTTTGTGCTGCTTCGGTTTTTAAGATATTAAAATAATATTTATTGCTCATTTTCTGAGGTCACTCAGCCCCCCACTGCTCCAAAATTGACCCCAAATAAGTTTGTTTGTTTGTGCTTCGTTTGTGCAGGTAAAAGTTTAGTTTGTGCTTCTTTGGTTTTTTAGATATTAAAAATATTATTTAGTGATAATTCTGAGGTCACTCAGCCCCACACATGCTCCAAAATTAGCTACCCCAAATAGTCTTGTTTGTTTGTGCTTCGTTTGTGCTGGTAATATTTTCGTTTTCGCTACTCGTTTTTAAAGATTTTTTCCTAGTCAACAGATTAGTCAATGCTGATGGCCATCTCCACAGTATAAAGTAAATCCAAAAATAACGGAGTAGCCTATTCTAAGTTCTTTCTGCAGGAAAAA